ATTTTCAACCTAAAAAAATTTTTTTTAGGAAATGTATTTAAAGCTATCAATTACTCATATGTACTACTTTACTGCATCCTATAAGAACTGATAGGCAGTACTTTCACTGTCATCTACTTAAAATATCTTGTCATTTTTATTATAATACTCTCTTTACCTCATGAGTTATTTAGATGTACATTTCATAGCATCTACATCTGTATTATAGATATACATATGTCTGTATGTATGTGTATATATTTTTAAATCATATTTTAATTGTTAAATTTTTTCATTTAATTACTCTGTAGTCAGATAATATAGTCTGTATATCAATTCTTTGAAATTAATGAAGACTTCCTTTATGACCTAATGCAATCAATTTTGAAAATATTCTATATTAATTTGAAGAACATGTATATTCTCTATTTGTTGGAGGCAGTTATCTATCCAATCATTGGCTTATTTCCTTGTTTAAATCTGCTAATCGCTTATTCAATTTTGTGTGATTTTTATATTTTTGATATAAATGTGTTGAGATCCCTCACTTAAGATTATGAATTTGTCTCTTTTTTCCTTATAATTTTATTTTAGTTTATATATTTCAAATCTATAGTATGAAGGTCATATGAATTCATGATTGTTACATATTTTTGGTTAATTATTCCATCAATTGTTAATGATTATACCTTTGTATCTTGATGCATTTTGCCTTAAATTCTTTTTTTTGTCTGACAGTAATGCTGCTGCACCATGTTTTCTCTGACTAGCACAGTACTAGCAAGTTATGCTTTATACCATTCCTTTATTTCTGCACTTGCTATGTGGCAGTTTTGTTTTAGGTGTGTCTTCTGTAAGCTAAATATAACTGAATTTTTCAAAAAGCAAATCTATTAATCTATGTTCCGTAGCATTCTTTAATCCATTTGCATTCTTTGTCTGATTATTGACACATAGGGACTTACTTGTACCACCTTATTTTTTTTTAAGTTTTCAATTTTATTTAAGTTTTGTTTTCCCATTCAGATGGCAGCATTCCTTTTTCTGCTCTGTGCCTTGTCTTTTACAATTGTGCCAAAATACACATAACATAAAATTTACTGTTTTAAACCTTTTAAAGTGTACAATTCAGTGGCATGAAGTACATTCACGGTGTTGTGCAACCACCATCACTGTCTTTTTCCAGAACTTTTTCATCATCCCAAACAGAAATTCTGTACCCATTAAACTCTCCATCACCCTCTGTCCCCAATCTCTGGTAACCCCTATTTTACTTTCTTTCTTTTGACTGTTCTAAGTCCTTCACATAAATGGACTCATACAATATTTGTCCCTTTGTGTCCGGCTTAGTTCACTTAGCATACTGTTTCTAAAGTGCCGCTCGTGTATGCAGCATGTGTCAGAATGTCCTGTCTTCTTGCAACTGCATAATGTTCCATTGTACAGATGGACCGCGTTTTGTTTACCCTAATGCTGCAGTGGACATTGGTGTAGCGAGTATCTGGTTGAGTCCCTGCTTTCACTTCTTCTGTGTACATACCCCGAAGCAGAATTGCTGGACCATACCGTTACTTCCTGAGGAACCGCCATACTTTCCATAGTGGTGGTACCTTTTACACTCCCACCGGGAATGTACAATACCACCTTCTTTTGTGTTTTTTGATTACTGCTTTTTCTCTGATTCTTTTTGCCTGATTTATGGTTTTGGAAAATTAATGCTAATGGCAAAGCGGAGGAAGTTGAAAGACAGGCTAATTAGGAGGCCATTGTAGGAGGCAGGGTGGTAACAACGAAGGATAAAACACAGATTCCAGAGACATTTCCAACATATGCACTGTATCATTTTTCACTCATTTATTCATTCATTCCATAAATATTTTCAAATGCCCATGATCTCAGGAGCAGGGAAGACAGCAGTGAGCAAGAGAGTTATGGTCCCTGCCCTCCCAGCACTCGAGGTCTAAAGTGATTATTCTTGTAAGAATTATCACATAATAAAGGTCAGAGTGGAACCATAGAAAATGTGGCACAGGAGGCAGTAATGGGCTGAGGGGATGGGACATGTTGAGCAAGCATGGCAGTCAGGGAAGGCTCCCCTTCATAACATAACTGATAAGTAATAAAGCATTCATAACATACTGATGAGTAATAAAAGCAAAATGTTATCTTTATTACTTATGTCGATAAGTAATAAAAGCACACTGAAACAGTCTGTAGAGTATGATCTTATTTTTGTTTACATATAATCTGTAACCAAACAACATATACTTATTTCAGTATGTCTAGTTTTGCAGAAAAATCTGAAATATATTCACCAAATGATCATCACTAGGAAATGAGATTCATACTGGATGTAATTTGTTTCTTTCTTGTTTTTTTTTTTTTTTTTTGCAGTTGTCATTTTTTTTAAAAATTTTTTTTAAATTTATTTTATTGCATTTTAGGTTTTGGGGTACATGTGAAGAACATGCAAGATTGTTGCATAGGTACACATGTGGCAGTGTGATTTGCTGCCTTCCTCCCCATCACCTACATCTGGCTTACTTCTTTGTATTTTTAAAAATTCTACAATAAGTATTATTTACATTTATGAAAAATAAAATTAATAAAAGACATTTCTGAGCCAGAATCAGTAAATTTTGCAACCCTTGGATGTGGGGAAAGAGAGCAAGGTAATTGTCAGGACTGACACAGGGGCTGTGTTCCTGGGCAGATGGCGACACCATGGATGGAGAGTAGGCATAGGAGGAGAGAGTAGCTGCAGCAGCGTGAGGGGTCAGATGAAGACCGTGGGTGGAGGGGTGGACATGCTGAACTGAAGATACAGATTTCTGTTCAGAAGCTGGGATATGGTTCTGGAACACAGTAGGGTCCAAAGCACTGAAGAACAGTGAAGAGAGCCCTGGGCTTTCCAGTAAGGTACTGGTTGATTGCCTTTGAGAGTTTGTGGGCAGGAGGAGGAAATCCAAATGCAGTAGGTTAAAGAATGAATGGGAGCTAAGGAATGATAGCATATGTGGACAGTCCACCCTTTCATGATGTTTGGGAAAGAAGAAAATAAGGATTTTAGGGCCTGGAGTGTGGGGGAGAGAGTGAGTGTGGTGAAAACAGATTTTAAAATCTTCAAAAGATTAAAAGGGCAAGAGTTAATAAAATGACTCAACAAAGACTGAACAGTGAAAAAAAGAAACGTGCCTAGCCTGGACTTTGGTGAGTTAACACACATTTACTGGGTATAAAATTCTAGGTTGTCAGTTTTTTCTGCCAATGCTTTAAAGATAGTCTGCTGTTTTCCATTATTTCTAACAAGAAGTCAACTGTGAGTCTAGGTAATGTATCTTTCTTCTCTGGTGCATTTGAGATTTTCTTTTTGTCTTTGGCTTTTCTTTGTGTTTGTCTTTCTTAGAGTTCATTATGTTTCTTAAATCTGAGCATCCCCAGCTTTCATCAGTTCTGGAAAACTCATGGATATCCTTGCTCCAAAGATGCCTCTCCCCCATTTTCTCTCCTCTCTCCTTCCGTAATGCTCACCAGACAGACATGGTATGAAAATAATACTTATTAAAAGAATTGTTTGAGAATTCTGTCCCAGAGAGGTTTCTACAGACATCTGGTCCACCGCACGGCCCTCACCATATTCCTGCAGCACCATGGGAAGTTTCCCTCAGCAGCGCTTTGGGACTGGGAGGCAGAGGACCACAATTCCCACTCCACAGCTTGCGAAGCTGACTGGTGCATGGGGAGAAGGCAGCAGAGCCGATGTGGAAAACAAGTTGGAAGTTCTTTTCAAGGAACCATGCTCACAGAAGCGAGCAACAGGGGTTTTCTCTGGTCTCAGGTGGAAGCCATGGAGTGGCTGACAAGCTCCTCCTCACAGGCTCTCTGGGCATGGGTCATAGGCGGCACAGGAGGATCCCTGCCTTGATGCTACATTCTCACATGAGTTAAGGAAGCATTGTCCCTGCCCATCCTGGGAAGGGTAAAGGGCAGGTCTGTAAACACCTCTGCCTTACAGTGCAGGTGACTTTCAAGAGTGTGGGGAAGAGGACTGGCTGCCAGCACCAGTGGCTCTCCCAGGGCACCCTCAGAGCCAGTCCGCAGCACTGCCATCCACCTGTGTGGCTCAGTAGTTACAGGGCACTCTGAGGGCTTCTCTAGACTCAGGATTCCTGAGCAACCCTCACCTTACAACCAAGAGGTGTGACGGCAGCTGCCTCATCCATTCACTTCCTCTGCCTTTCACTTCCCCTCACAGAATGAAAGTGAGATACGGCCTAGGCCAGGTTCCACCTCTGGGTCTCATTAGTTTTCACTCAAAGTCAAAGTCTGGGGAAGAAGTGAACACACCTTCGGTCATGTTGGATGGATTGGAGCAGTTGATGGGAAGACACTTCTTCATTACTCGATGTTTCTGCCCATCAAACTTACTGTGCTCCTAGGAAAATGGCAGAGGGCAATTAGGGGCCAGGGAGGACTGACTGATGGCAATGGGTTTGCAGGAAATTGTTTTGCTTTGCAAAATCCTTTTTGATGAAACAAATGGTTTTAACTAGTTTTATTCTCTTCTGTGTTAGTCACTGGGGAGCATCATCCTAGCTGATCTAGTTCTTGTAGAAAAAGGACTCTGAGTCATCTAGAAGTCCAGTGTTCTAGCGTCTAGCGTTCTAGTGTCTAGTGTTCTCGTATCTAGTGTTCTAGTGTCTAGTGTTCTCGTGTCTAGTGTTCTCGTGTCTAGTGTTCTCTTATCTAGTGTTCTCGTGTCTAGTGTTCTAGTGTCTAGTGTTCCCGTGTCTAGTGTTCTCGTGTCTAGTGTTCTCGTGTCTAGTGTTCTCGTGTCTAGTGTTCTAGTGTTTAGTGTTCCCGTGTCTAGTGTTCTCGTGTCTAGTGTTCTAGTGTTTAGTGTTCTAGTGTTCAGCATTCTGACTGCAGCACATTACTGCTCCTTTCTTACACGTGTGTGCTCTTTTCACTACTGACTGTGCCGTCTGTGCCTGCCACTCACTCTGTCCTTTCCTTCACAGGTACTGTGACTGCTTCACCAGTGGGGACTTTGGCAACAACTGCAATTGTAATAACTGTTGCAACAACTTGCATCATGAAATTGAACGGTTTAAAGCCATTAAGGTAATAGATGTCAATTAAATGAGTGCATTTTAAAAACATTTCAAATTATTTGAGATGTTCATAAAATGATCTCCAGAGATTCCTCATTGGAAAAACCCCACAGTTTTGAAGAATATACATTGAATATGACTTGATTCCTGCTAGTGGGGGTATTGAACCATGACATGGGGCTGTTGTAAAAGCGGTAGGCAGAGAAAGGCCTTTTTCTCTTTATTATGTGGGAAGGCTTCAGAGGTGCAGCAGCCTAGGAAGGTTCTGATTCAAGGACATGTGAACATCTGCTTTGTCTTGGAGTTTAGCCATTTGGGATCATCTTATATAGGAGATAAGCGTGAACTGGAGCCGTGCAGTCTGCAAAGGTGTAGACAGTCCGCTGCATGAGAAGGCTGGGTGAAAGTGCTCAGGCAGCCTACGTTTTTAATTATAAAATTTAACAACTTAAATGTGACCTCTTGGCTTCTAGAAGAAGAGAAGAAGAATCTAGGTTTTCCCAGAGACTCAAAAGGTGACTTTGATGGCCCTGATGGCCACTCTGCCGAAGGCTAAACACAGGAGCTTGCAGCTTTGATCCCTTTCTGTGGACACAAAAGATAATTAGGGAGAAGGGAGGGACAGTTAGGCTCAGGGCTGTCAACCTGTTCCAGGGAGACACTTCCCGTGCCCACTCATTCATGAAGGGAAGTCGAGAGCCATCGACCGTAGACCCGAGACTGTCCTGTGCAAATAGAACACAATTATAAGGGCACGGCTGCTCTCTGCATTGTTTTCTGAAATAATTTCATTCCCCTCTTGAATTATGGATAAGTGACTTGAAATATCTTACCAATTTTGATATAGCCACATCCATAGGACAGAAGAATATTGTCATGGATATAAACTTTAGTCACATTTTATTTAGGGATAAAGAGTACTACCTACAATTAAAACTGTAAAAACAAAAAGTGTTGGATTCTTATACATTGCTGATAGAAATATAAATTGGCACAACCACTTTGGGAAACTGTTTGACCACAGCTACTAAACCTAAACTTTTGTGTATGCCATGGCCCAGCCATTTCATTCCTAAAAGTACAGCCACTAGAAATGAGTGCAGATGTCCACCAGAAGACTTGCACAGGAATGTCATAGCAGCTCCATTCAGCGTAGCTAGGCACTGGAAACAGCCCAAATGTCCATCCGTGGCAGAATGGATACGTCCGCACGTCGATGAAAAGCAGGAGCTGCAGCTAAGCGCAGCAGTGCGGATGGATCTCCCAGACGCTACCTGAGGGAAGCAGTAGACGCGGGAGTGCACGCTGTGGGATTGCACTTACCTGAAGCACCAGCATAGGCGAACCTAAAGCCCTCTAAGTCAGAATAGCGGTTCCCCGTGGGGGTGCACTGCTGGGGAGAAGTCTCAAGGCAGCCGTGGGGCTGCCTGTCCTCTAACTTGACCTTAGTAGCAGGTACACAGGTGTGCACAGGTACACAGGTGTGCACATGTGCACAAGATCATCATGCCACAGCTGCAGATGTGTGTATCCACTGCCTGTCACACTTCAATGATCTGTGAAAACTCCTAAAGCCACACACTGCAGGCTGGGGCTGTCCCGCAGCACGTTCTCACTGATGGCCTTATGCTCGGGGCTGTGCTGCTGGACAGCACGGATTCCAATGTCAACCCCAGGAAGCGGAAGGGAGGCCGCGGACTTCCACTGTGGTTGCTGTATTATTTGAATCTTTACGAAGAGCATTGAATCATTTTGTATGTAAAGCTATGTATGTATGTGTGTATATAGAGAGATTAAAAAGTGACAACACACAGACCCTCATAACAAGTCATACATATTGTCTGAGAAAGGCATGGCCCAGAGGTTGAGACCCGCTCTGAAGTCGGCATGGGGACCTTGAATCAGGATCCTGCCACTCGCCACCTGTTATTTAACCTCTCGGTGCCTCAGTTTCTCCACATATGAAACAATCATACAGTAGTAGATTTTACTTCCCAAGGTTGCTGAGGATTAAATGAGAGGGCGTGTATATGAATGCCATGGAAAGATGCCTGGCACGTGGTCTGTTGAGTCGTGTTCAGGCAGTGTGAGCGGTTAGGATGGTCCACAACCTCAACCGTCTTAGGAAAGAGAGCCCCAGAAATGCCGGATGGAAATGTGTCCACACGGAAACAATGATTTTCTTTGCGTCTTTACCATCCATTATTTTTTGCAGTAAATATGTATGGCTTGGAAACTCAGAAAATAAAACGTGAAGAAACCATAGCTACGATATCGCCTTTTTTGTGTGGAAACTAATTGAAATGAAACAAGAAGGGGCTGCACGTTCTGAACTGTGTAAAGACTCACTGCTTCCTGTGGCACCTTTCACAACAACCAAACAAGATGCCCTTCACTGACCCTGAGTTTTGAATGATAAAATCCATCCTGATGGAGCTTCCCATTCCACTCTAGGCATGTCTTGGTAGAAATCCAGAAGCTTTCCAGCCCAAAATTGGGAAGGGCCAGCTGGGCAACGTCAAGCCCCGGCACAGCAAAGGGTGCAGCTGCAGGAGGTCGGGCTGCCTGAAGAACTACTGCGAGTGCTGTGAGGTGGGTGCCGTCTCCCGAGCTGAGCCACTCACAAAACACACAGCTACACATTTTGAGTAACTCTTGTGGTTAAAAAACTTCACGGTAATTTAAAAAGATAACTATCATTATTTTTTTCTTCCAGAGTTTCTAGAAGGGCACTCACACTAATCTGAATTAATTTCCCAAATATCAGCTGAGCTTAGGCCCTATCGGGAGCAGCCGAGACACCCTCCTTGCAAACCTCTGTTTTGGCTTACCTGAGGTCTTTTGGGGGTCCTGTGAATTACACTTTTAAAAAGCTGTCTGTCATAGAGGGTCAGGCTTGAGAACAGTCCTCCTGATTCTGGTGACATGCATGGAAAGGCCTGAGAAGGCGGGCCCCACAATCCCAGCTAAGATTTGGAAAACGCAGTCAAAACATGGCATAGACAGAGATGCGCAATTCAAACGTGAGTGACACCACCCCCGTGGAACAACTTCCAACCGTACTCACAGCATCTCCTCTCTGTCCTGCAAAGTGCCCTCACCGGCTGCCACAAAACGGTGGCTCAGCCTACTTTCCCAAGGCCAAGACTATGCCAGGCACAGCCCACAGAATGTGCAGGTTCAGAAGAAAGGGACAGCACTGTTGCTTAGTCTCTGGCATTACTGTAGACTAGAAACTCTGGAAAGCCTTCTGCTTCAAAACACCCAGAGATGCAGATGAATCAGAATGCAAACCACTGAAGATGCATCTCCTAGCTGGAAAGAACCCAGGGAAATCCCTGGGGGGCTGAAGGAAAGAGAAATTCAAAAACCATAGTGATTGGCATTGCCAGTTCTCGGTCAGCCCCTGGGGCCCACACGAACAAGGATTTGGCATGAGGGGAAAAGGCAGGGTGGCTTGCTGGGTACAGCTGGAACACGCCAGCCCCCTGAGCACCATATTGCCAGGAAAGACTTGAAACAGAATCCACCTCCAAGGCAGCAAGAGAGGCTCCCCTGAGAGCTGTCAGCCACAGGCCTGCTCTTAGACAGTTTCAAATTCTACTCACTGTGCATTCTCTGCACCCATAGGACCAGCTTAATAGGCTCTCTTCTAAGCAGGAGTCACACGAAGCAGCCTGCTCGCTCCCTGGTGAAGGGAGAGCAACACCCTCTCTCTGCTTGGGACTCACACCCACACGCCCGGCCTCTGCTCCATCAGCAGCAGGACCACTGCGCCTTTACAACAGCAGTGTGCGATGAAAACTGCAGCTCACACACACAGTCACACACATTCACACACACGTATGCATATTCACACACCCCATATACACACACACTCACCCCACACATACTCACAATCATACACAGTCACACACATTCACACTCACACACCCTATATACACACATAGTCACACACGCATGCACACTCACACACCCCATATACACACACCCCCCACACACATACACACACAGTCACACACATTGACACACATTCACACTCACACATGCACACTCACACACCCCATACACTCACACCCCCACACAATTATACACACATTCACACTCACACATATGCACACACACCCCATATACATGCACACCCCCCCCACACAATCATATACACACACTCAAATACACTCACTCACAGTCCCACATTCACACTTACACATATGCACACTTATACATACAGCCTACATACACTCATACACACATTCACACATAACACACACACCCCCACACACACTCATACACTCAATGCTCAACACACACACTCTCACCTACACATTCACACTCAACACACATTCTCTCTGTCACTCATATAGGCAAATATATGCAAATAATTATTTAAGGTCCGTATAAAATGTGTCCGTTTTTGATGACTTGTGGGACAACCTAATTTTATTGAAGCATTTTATATTACCAGGCCAAGATGATGTGTTCTTCTGTTTGTAAATGCATTGGTTGCAAAAATTATGAAGAAAGCCCAGAACGAAAGACGCTAATGAGCACGCCAAACTACGTGCAGACTGGAGGTTTGGAGGGCAGCCATCATTTGTCACCGACTAAATTTCCAGGACTTCCAAAATTCAGGAAAGATAGGTAGGTACTTTTAATTAACCCCCACTAATAGAGGGAACAGAGGTTAATTTGAGAGGAGAATAAAGGACAATTTGTACACTGGAAAAAATGCGTGAGCCTGCAGGGGCCGGCGTGTGGAGGGAGGCGGCGCAGAGGGAAGCATTCCCCCCTCCACGGGTAATCCTGGGTGGTGGCCGTGTTTCCTTAGAGGCCCTGCTACCGAAACCTCTTTTGTCCCCTTTTCTTCCTCACTGAGTTACTCTCATTTTGTACCAGACAAAAGGGCTCCACTGCCAGCATCACCAGCAGGGCCAGCAGAGTTCTGATGCTGCCTTTGTGTTAAGAGAGCCACGCTGACCCCGGGCAGCAAAGACAGTGCGCACCTCCCTGCCCTTTATCTCGGGAAGTGGCGGCAAAGAGCTGTGCTGGTCCACATTGTTCTCCTTCCTAAGTGATTGTGGATCCAGCCTCATTGGGTAATTTTGCATTTATCAGTTTTGAAGCCGCATTGTAATCCTAGTAGGTCTCAAAGCTTAAGTCATAATTTTACCATCTATTAGATTCCATTCATTCATTTCAAAAAACTTCTTTGAGTTCAAAGTCATGGTCATATCAAGATAAAGTACCATATGTCATTAATTAGTATTATTTTTGCGAAGCCAAACTTGTGCTTATTTGGTTAGAGAGAAATCAGAAATACCCATGACTGTGACCTACAGAGGTCTTTTTCTTTTGAGACCAGGATTTTCATTCAGTCGCCCAGGCTGGAATGTAATGGTGTGATCACAGCTCATGCAGCCTCAACCTCCCCAGGTTCAGGTGATCCTCCCACCTCAGCCTCTCGAGTAGCTGGGACTATAGGCACGTGCGGCTGATTTTTCTACTTTTTGTAGAGATGGGGTCTCACCATGTTGGTCTTGAACTCCTGAACTGTGATCCACCCACCTCTGCCTCCCAAAGTGCTGAGATTACAGGCATGAGCCAGCGCACCCAGCTGACGCACAGAGGTCTTTATCAGTAAAAATTTACCAAAACCTGGCCTCATTGGCTGAAGTGATGTGTGAAAATGTCATGGCCTGCAGCAGGATGTGTGTTCCCTGGAGTCCGGCAGGGCCTGTACCCTGGAGCCTGGCCTTACAGTGTTACGGCCCTTCTTTTCCCAAGGGCAGCCCTGTCTTTTCCTTTTTAACCAAAGTCATCACATACTGTCTTCATAGAGAGACTTTAACCCAACATTTTTCTCTATTTTTATAACCCAACACTTTTTCATCGTTTATAAAGGTTTCCTGAAATTGTTTCAGCTTAGCACTGCTTGGGCCACTATCTAGCTAAGCCACAGTTGCTCCCTGAGCTCAGTGGGGAGAATGGCTGGTCCTATGTGATATGGTACAACTTGCCTCTCAGAACCTCTTTCACAGCTCCAGAGGACACTGAGGGGGAAGGCCAGTGTCTGGCCTGTGCTACCTGAAGGCTTGACAGGCAAGTCCTCAGAACGCTTGGCCTTCTCTAGCTGCACGTGGCCCTGTGGGGAGGAGAGGAGACACCCAGCGTGGCACAGGACTCGGAGCAAAGCTGCCCAGCTTGTCCCCCATGCCCTGCCTCAGCTAAGAGTCCTGCTTCTGCAATTCCCTGCCTGGCCCACGGGCTTGACCCTGCGGCCCAGGGTCCTCTGGGTTTGTCAGTGGATCCAATTTTGAGGAAATTTTGAACCTGCCATGAGATGGATGTCAACACCCCGCAGATGTACTTGTCTTCTGTGTTATTCTTCTAAAAGCAGTTAGTCCTTTCTTTCTTTTCTTTTATTTTCTTTTCTTTCTGAGAAAGGGTCTCGATTTGTTGCCCAGGCTGGTCTTAAACTCCCAGCTTTAGACCGTCCTTCTGCCTTGGCCTCCCAAGTTGCTGGGATTACAGGCTACTGGGCACGGCCTAGTAGTTTCCAGTCTGAGGAAGACAACGTTAGATTTTAGTGGATGGTGTTCTTTAAAACAGCAGGGACAAGCAGTGTTCTATTGAATGTGAATGGTACTGTAGGTGGAAACAGTGGCAGCTAAGTGGACTTTACCTGCTGTTTCTGACAGGCGGCCTCCCTCCTGCATCTCCTGGGAGGTGGTGGAGGCCACGTGCGCCTGCCTGCTGGCTCAGGGCGAAGAGGCTGAGAAAGAGCACTGCTCCGAGTGCCTGGCACAGCAGATGATCCTGGAGGAATTTGGAAGGTGCTTATCCCAGATTCTCCACATTGAGTTTAAATCCAAGGGGTTGAAAATGGAGTAGAGTAACGTGTGAATGCATGTTGATTCTTAGTCTAGAAATCACTAGTTTAGAAAGGTTGTTTACTCTGCAGCAACAAGCAGGCCCCCCGCATCCCTGGGCCCAGAGCGCACTCTGAGCTCTCTGAACATGTGGCAACCCACGCCCCCTTTTCTGAGCAGGTGCGTGGCCTGAGCACTGTCTCTCTAGCCCAGAGGGAACGCTTGAGTTCCCCAAGTCCTGGGAGAGTGTCTGCAGGGCAGGGGAGGGCGGAGCCGGCCCTGGGGAGAGCTCACTCCTGTGGACTCATCCTCTCTGAGAATGTTCCTCTGGAGGCTGCTCTGCATAAAAACCCTAATGGTATCTTGTTTGCTCTTCAAATTATTTAGAAATAAATTCTCCAGATGGGCTGTTATGCCACCACTTAAAATCTCTAAAGAACTACTCAATACCGAAAGATTGTCTGTAGTGTAGACATTCCCCCAGAGGCACACAAACTGTCAGTCTTTTCCACCGCCCCGGGAGACGCAGGCCATGGGGCCACACAGGCCTGGCTTGCGTCAGCATGTCTTGGTTTAAGGGACTTAAAATTATCGAGTTTCTTCTGTGTTTCTACTTGAATTGTGGTAAAGCTCTATTATCCAATTAACTTCTCCATAATTATTGTTGTAATATTATTGTTTGTAAAATATGGTTCACAAAACTAGCTTGCAGAAACCAGCAGGTAAAATGAATTAGTAAGTTGATGCTTTTGGTTCTGTTATAAAGCAAAGTTGAATAAAAAGTTTCAGTGTCTTCGATTGTTGTCATTAACTTAGTAACTGAAACTGCGTTCATCTGCTGAGTACCCACCCTGAAATATATTGCGGGAATGTACTTTCATGTCTCTGCTGCGTGAATAGTGCTGGTTATTCAGAGGGTGTTTAGGAACCTCAAGGACCAGTGCAGCCGAGGCGGAGTGTGGCCGCTGGGCCCAGGAACCGGGCAGTCGGTGAGCAAGCATCCAGGGAGGAAGCAGGCTTTTCTGGAGCTGTGTCTGGAACAGTCTAGTTGCAAACTCAGCCACAGGCAGCCACGGAGGATAAAAGGAAGAACTAATTCTTCCCTTTGCAGTTCCCTTTGGCCCCTTGGGATCCAGAGTCTGTAGCAGAAAGCCAGAGGTAAAGATACGCAGTGTGAGGCGGGGAGCCCTCAGCTGGCGGCACGCCCCACTTGCCGTGTGTGCTTTTGGTCCTGTCAGCATCGGGTGAGCAGGGAGGCACACTGCTGCAGGAGCCACCTGGCCCCTGTCACCCATGGGGGCTGGAAGGTGACCTGGGAATGGGGGCTTTGGAAGCTGCCTCCTGGGGGGCTGCCTCCCTCCTGCTATCCCCCTCAGCAGCACTGCCAGCAGCAAGATCTGCTGGCCACGTGGCTAATTTTCAGGTTTCTGGTAGCTACGTGTAAAAACATGAAAATGAACACGTAAAATTAGTTTTGGTAACTTTTATTTATCCCAACATATCCAAAATGCCATCATTCCAATGTGTAATCAAAACGAAGACGACTGAGAGATGTCACACTCCTCTGTGTGTACCCAGTGTTTGAAATGCAGGGTGTCTTCTACTCACAGCGGGTCTCAGCTGGCCCCAGCCACACCTTAAGGGTGGGGCGCCTCAGCACAGCCCTAGGACACCCAGTGGAGGGGGGAAGAGGGAACAGGGGCCTGCAGCATTCTTTTGAGGCAAGGGCTGCCTAGGGAGGTCCTGAACTAGGCTGGCCCACCCGGGAGCCCAGAGGAAGTGTGAGCAGGGCACTCCAGGGGGAGGCTGGGAACACAGGCCCTCCCACACCGCATAAGAGACCACCCTGAATCCCGGGTTCCTATGAAGAAGGGGCCTGCGCCAGCCGAGGATGCACTGACGGTGGCCAGGTGTACTGAGCTAACTAATGCCTGTAGGTGAAGGAAGTGCCACCGCCACCAGTCAGGCGTGAGCCCTGCAGGGTCTCCCAGCAGCAGAGAGAAGCTGGCTAAGTCAGTGCCGCTTGCAGAGGAGCCCACCTGAGAAGTGAAAGCCCAGGTACAGGCGTGGCTAAAGCCACTATGCTGACCAGAGGCGGCATGGAGGGTGACTGAGAAGACAGAGTCGCATCTCTTCTGTGTCCCGCGGAGAGCCAGTGCTACTTTAAAACGGTACACAAATTAACATGTCAGGTTCTCATCTGAGAGTGTAGCTGTGCGAATGTAACCACAGCTTTCTACTCTGTACCTATTAAATAACTCGGGCCACCTTGGTGACGAAGGTTAGGTTTTGGTTTTCTGTTTTGTTTATCCAGAAAACAAAACAAAACAAAACAAAAAAACAACCCTCGTATTTTTCATAGACATGGAGAATAAATCCTTGTTTAGAATGACACTCACTGAAATCGTTCTTTCGTCTCCGCGAACACAGGCTGCACCCGGCACAGAAAGCCTGGCGGCCCAGGAGCATCCTTAGGAGAGAAGGCGCTGTGGGCGGCGGAAGGCCGGCAGAAGCCTCGGTGTATTTTCCCTCCAGGCTTGGATGCTCATATTACCCCTTTACAGACCTCTCGCCAGTACCTGAAGCTCTGCCAGTACTGGTCGCCTTTCAGTGGGGGCGCAGTTTAAAACCCTAATCAACACATTGTCGTCTGGAGTCCGTTAAAATACTGTCTTAGAGAATGGAAAGGTGAACCCTCCTCCAAGATAAAACGACAGAGCAGTCAGAGGATCCAGAGAGCAGGTGGGAGCAGATGAAGCAGGGGGGAGGCAGCCCGTTCTGCAGGCCGCGCGCTCTTTGGGAAGGCGCCCGGACACAGCTGGGCCCGGTGCAGCTGAGCTGAGCTTTGGCCAGGGGCGAGCTGTGCGCTCTCCCTGCTGCACTCTTCCCGGGAGTCCTTAGCCTCAGAGTGGGGAGGAGGCACCAGAGGAGGGCGCCCCGAGCGAGCGGCATCTTCCCCCAGCCCGGCCTCCATCCTGCGCCCAACCCCGCCCCCAGCGGAGGCTGGAGAGGGAGGCTGGAGAGCAAGCCCGGAGCACCGCCCGGCCCCAGCCACCGACAAAACTGGAATCGAAGACTGATTGCATGGATGTTCTTCAGATGTTTAAAAATGGTTATCAGGAAAACGTTTGAGTCTCCTACAAACGGTAGTGGGTTTGCTTTGTTTTTTTCAACAACAAACTTTAATAAAAACTTTAATGTTTGATATTTTAAATGTTGCCTTGACTTTTCAGGAAATTGAGAAGCCAATCTATTCAATACCAGAAATCACATTAGCCCGGATTTAGGATTAACTGTCTCTTTTTTTCCATATAGTTTTACCTTTTTAAATATGCTTTTTATTCATACTATTGTATGTATCTTTTACTGTAAATATTTCATATCTTTGTTGGAAATAGACGGACTATAGAAACATTTTACAGTATTACGAAGACACATTCTGCAGAGACAGCCTTTGTTGATGATTCCCTAGAAATATACGTATTTTAATAGAGGCAGAGTCTCGCTCGGTTGCCTATGCTGGAGTGCTGTGGTGCGTTCATAAATCACTGCAGCCTCAAACTCCTGGTCTCAAGCAATCCTCCCAGGGAGCTAGGACAACAGCCTCACACCACCATGCTCAGCCAAGTTTCTGTATTTTTTTTTTTTTATGGACAGGGTCTTGCTATGTTGCCCAGGCCTCAAACTCCTAGCCTCAAATGATCTTCCCTCCTTGACCTCCTGAAGCACTAAGATTACAGGTGTGAGCTGCCGTGCTGGACCTCTCTCTCTCTCTCTCTTTTTTTTTAACTAGAGTAGTTTTTAGAGTACTTTTGAGTTCCGAGCAAAATTGAGCAGAAAGTGCAGAAATTTCCCATATAATCCATGTTCTCCAACACGGCAGCCTCCCCGCTACCAACATTCCTCCCCAGAGCTGTCCCCCTGTTACAGCTGATGAGCCCACAGTGACACACCATCATCGCCCAAAGCCCACCGTGACGCTAAGATCCCCTCTTGGTATTCCACATGCTGTGGGTATGGTGGCACGCATCCAGGACTGCAGCACACAGAACAGTCTCACTGCCCTAAACACCCCTGTGCTCTGCCTGTTCATCCCTCCCCACAACCCGGGCGGCCATTTTTACTCTCTCCACAGTTTCACTTTTCCCAGAATGTCACCTAGGTGGGGTCATACTGTCAGCAGCCTCTTCAGGCTGGCTTCTTTCACTTAGTCATCTGCATCTCTGTCCCCTATATCTTTTCATGGCTTGATAACTCATCTCGTTTTAGCTCTGAATAATACTCCATTGTCTGGAGGTCGCAGTTCATCCCTTCACCTCCTGAAGAGCATCTGAGTTGCTTCCAAGTTTGGGCAACTCGGAGTAACGCTGCTGTAAATATCTGTGTGCAGGTTTTTGCATGGACACAAGTTTTTACCTCCTTTGGGTAAATGTCAATGGGCATGACTTCTGGATCGTATAATAAGAATATATTTAGTTTTGCACGAAACCACCAAGCTGTCTTCCAAAGTCACTACGTCATTGAGCATTCCCACCAGCAGTGAATGAGAGTTCCTATGGCTCCACCTCCTCACCAGCACCTAGTGTGGTCAGGGTTTGGGGTGTTGCCCGTTCTAACAGGTATGTAGTGGTATCTCATTGCGATTTTAATCTGCACTTCCCCAGTGACAGGTGATGTGGAGCCTGTTTCCATATGCATACTTGCCATCTGCATATCTTCTTGGGTGAGATGTCACTTGAGGTCTTTTGCTCATTGTTTAATTGCGTTGTTTCTTATTGCTGGGTTTTAAGAATCCTTTGTATATTTTGGATAACAGTCTTTTTAATTTTTTTTTTTTTAAGTTGGTGTTTCACCATGATGACCAGGCTGGTCTTGAACTCCTGACCTCAGGTGATCCATCCACCTCAGCCTCCCAAAGTGCTAGGATTACAGGCGTGAGCCACCGCGCCCGGCTGGATAACAGTCTTTTAATAGATACATCCTTTGCAAAGGTTTTCTCCCAGTCTGTAGCTTGTCTTCTCATTCTCCTGACAGTGTATTTTGCAGAGCAGAAGTTTTTAATAAAGTCCAGCTCATCAGTTATTTTTGTGTGTGTGGATCATGCCTTTGTTGTAGTGCCTAAAAAGTCATCCCCATATCCAGACCATCCATATTTTCTCCTGTGTTAACTTCTAGGGATTTTATTTTATTTTATTTTATTTTATTTTTGAGATGGGTCTCACTCTGTCCCCCAGGTTGGAGTGCAGTGGGACAATCTCAGCTCACTGCAACCCCCACCTCCAGGGTTAAAGTGACTCTCCTGCCTCAGCTTCCCAAGCAGCTGGGATGAGAGGCACCCGCTACCACGCCTGGCTAATTTTTTTATTTTTAGTAGAGATGGGGTTTCACCATGTTGGCCAGGCTGGTCTCAAACTCCTGACCTCAAGCGATCCTCCCATCTTGGTCCCCCAATATGTTAGGATTACATGGGTGAGGCGCAGCACCCGGCCAATCTTCTAGAAATTTTATAGTTTACAATTTACATTTAGGACTATGATCTACCTTGAGTTAATTTCTGTGAGAGGGATAAGAGGCTTTATCTAGTCATATTTTCTTTTGCATGTGAATGTCCAGTTGTTCCAGCACCATCTGTCAAAAAGCCTGTCTTTTCTCCATCGTGCCGCTTTCATCCCTTTGTCAGAGATCAGTTGGCTTTAATTGTGTGAGTCTGGCCCTCTATTCTGTTCCATGGATCTATTCTTTTATTCCTTAACTAATGACACACCATGTTGATTGCTGTAGTTTTATGGTAGGCTT